AAAGAGAGACAAATATTGGTGTGGAGAGGAAATATGGGAACTACTGTCACGCACTTGTATGCGCGATTGCATCCACCAATCACTCGCCCTACACACCATCCTAACACATTCCGAGACAGAACAAACTAGACACAAAACTACACGCCAGCTATAATCTAAGAGCCAGGTACTGGTGCTCGCCTTTCTGCTACTGGTAGAAAAGATGAACATATGGATGTAATTCAACATGTGCAAGCTAATACAAAGATCGCATATTATCCTAATAGTAAGCAATAGAAAACTGAATGCTTAATAGATCAAGCTAGTGCAAATTATACAGCCTGGATACAAACCCGAACAAAATAAAGACGTATAGCATTATGTTACTATTTAAACAAGAATTCATCCATGATAAGTTTCCCTCAAACCCTACATCCTTTATAATGAAATGAACACAACATGGATCGAGTTTAAATAGGGTGCAAGGCATATTCGACATCCTATCCACATCATTAAGAAAACAGTAAAAAACAATTTCCCCTGCCACACCACATAGGACATATGTTGTTCACTGGCCATTCCATCACAGGTGTCAGTACAAGAAAAAAAATTAAATGACACTAAACGACAATACTGAAATAAAGACACATACGGAGAACAGACAATAAAATAAAAGATAAAAAATTTAATAACAATATAATGCATATCATAAAACAATAAATAATAGGCATTCAACTACATCATTGCGGAGAAGCGTCTAAGGACCCCTAACCAAGTGAAATGTAAAACCAATGTACTTATTCAAAAACAAGCAAAACGGTTATGATATTTCAGATACAACTAGGAGATGGATCCCAAAACTGATTTACATGATATATTTACATTTAACAATTTAGGGATGATACCAGCGCTCCTGCAGTTATATCACCAAACTGTAAGATATGAAAATTAACGAACGAATGAAACGATGAAAGATACTACAACGACACATATAAACATTAGACGACCTATAGAATGATCACAACACGATTCAACCAATGCAGAAATATAGCATCACGGATTAGCTGAAAAATTGATACATCATGGTGCCAAACCAGATCTTCAATATGAATGCACTGATCTGATATACCTCCCACACACCTACACGATCTGATTATGTCAAGGGCGGTTCATAACTTGTCACATGAGACGACACCATCTACAAGTTTTACTCACATATACCATATATTACGCTGACAACTTTGCTTAAGTGCAAGCACACCACGACCCGACGGACAACTTACATCGTACACTACGAACATAACTAGCCAGTTAAGGGCGCATATAATGCAGAGGATGCATTTTCAGATGCGATAAAAATACGCCTCTGCCTCCAGTAATGCCTTGGAGCACTAAATACAATTGCTCGCCTCTAAAATGGGGAATAAGACATTTAGAAAGTAAGCACGACTCAACAGTAATCGGCAATGAGAAGGAGAGACAGGACGGAGAGGAGGGAGAGAAAGATCTTTGCTTTTTGAGATGGAGGCTATAAAAAGCCGCTGTAGCCCTAGACAAATAGGTGTGCTAGTTGTATAGTCGCACAGCGAGCAAATCTAAATATCGCGGCATTGATCCCTACCCTCCCACTGTTCACAACACAGATCTAGCCAGAACCAGCCTACTGATAATCGCACGCCAGGCCCCCTTACTTGCATGCGATCTTATCCCAAACAGAACGCTACCACAAAAACAATGAATCACATCACCACACAGGACATACAAGCACGAACCACCACAAACACGTCAAAAGAAATGTGGAAAATCTGTTAACTGCATAGTACAAGTTTAATCTGTCAAACAATCACAAGTATTACTGACTGCACAGGTTTGCAGGCTGATTGAGCGGCTAGCGGCCAGCCTCATTCTGACCGGTATGTAGTCAATCTAACGGATGGCTGTTTTTTAATCCCAGAGAGAGACAAAGTTGATTACAGAAACTGTCAGCCCCTCAGACAGCTCTGTTGAGATAATCCGATGATACGCTTATGGTCCTCAGTATCATCCTTATTTATACGATCGACCATCATAGAAAACGGCGATCTAGGGATGACACAGTGAGGCAAATATAGACTTCAATGCGCCCTGCACAAAAGTCCCACACTAAATAGCGTAGAGCATGTGTGTAGGCGACATACCCGCACTGCCCCACACCCCTAAGTGCAAAAAGAATGCGAAGGTGCAACGTGAACTAAAGATTAGGCAGCAAACTATCCCACAGACTTAATCATGAAGACTGTTACATCTCTAGATACTACCAAATTTTCACATACGCACACACACAACAAAAACACAAACTAAGGACGAACACATATATATCCTAACACATATGAATGCCAGGCTACAACGATGGTGTGACCCCCGTCTGAACAGAGAGAAGGCTTTGTTGTCATTGCGATATGGTGAAGGCTTTCAAACATTACCATACATCATTTACACTGTGTAAGAACCATCTTGTTGAAACGTAATACATATCCTAGCACGAGAGCAGTTCCCTTGCATAAACAGCTGACATTAACTTACTGATGTGATGTCGGCTCAGCCCCACAGATTATGTAGATTACCAAAAATAACTCCACTGCCCTCGAGTCCAACAGCTCACACGACAGACTTTAACCTACTAGCGGTTTTATTTTCTTATACATAATCTGTGGACGATCAGTAAGTTAATTCCTAACATATCTCAGATGTCTTACGCTTAAAGTGCTTCATCACGGACTGATGAGTAATGTGTCTACTCGAAGAAAACCTATAAAGGGACACACGTGAGCTGGCTTCTTAATATTTTGAGTCATACTGGTGGAAAGTCTTCCAAGTATCAGTCTGATGTTACTTGTGGTCATACTGATTTCTTACTTGATTGGGGGGGGGGAACCCCAAAGGGCCTCAGTAGCTTGACTCAGCAAAGATTGATCGTTTTTCTGATTGGGTATCTGTCTAAATCTATCCAAACACACAAGCTGATTGAAAAGTGATTCCTTAAAACGGCCTCGTTAGTCTAACCAGCTGACTGCACCTCACATTCACTGCAAACTGTGTGAACTTGTGGTATAGAGGTGATGTGATTCATTGGTTTTTGTACTCTTTTGGATCAGAAGCTGGTGGCTGCGTCTTTTATCAAGTGGCAGAAACTTTTAACGAGTCGTAGTTTTAATCCGCTCTTCTTCTCTCTGCTGTTGATTCCAACATTTTCCGAGCGACGTATGAATGAATCTGTGTCAGCAGAGGAGGAGATTTTACCACAAACCTCATGTCATTTTTGTCCCCACTGTGTGTGTGTGTGTGTGTGTGTGTGTGTGTGTGTGTGTGTGTGGTCTTAATTGTACATACATGTTGTGACACAGTTATGAAACCGCCCTCTGACATAATCAAGATAATAATAATCAAAGATCAGGCACTGAGCACGGGTTAATATTTTACAAGCTAATGTGTGCAAATCTGCATCGTAATCCACCAGCATTGTTGGAGAATTCACGTTGTTTGATTTAGCGGTGAGGCAGAATTCCTACCTGTTAAAATATAAAGCAGGTTTGTGAACTCACAAGCTCATAATAAGCTCATAAAGTTTGATAACATTGGAGCAAATGCATGTGGAAGCCATTGTTTTGAAGCAATACTTGTAAATGTCCGTCCCTGAGTTCATTTAGTTTGTCGTGTGAGTACAAGTGAAGATCTCAGTAGAAACGTTAGTGGAGCTGGAACTTTTTTTTGTTCATTTACTGCAGAGAGCACCCAATATCTTTCTACTTTAAGGGAGTGGCTGACTTAACTGACCACGTTATAACAAACAGTCAAGGTCTCCAAGCACACTCTGTCTCCTACACTAGTATAAAAGAGTTGAATTTACTGTTGGCACCGAGTGTGTGTCCCTCCTTTTGTTAAATTTGGTTTTAGGGAGTTTAGGAAAAGCAAGGTGGAGCATGTCAATTCGGTGTTTCTCTCTTGACAACTGCTAACCGGATTCACGACGACACACAGTTTTTTTTTTAACCAAGCCCGTTCAGATGTTTAACTATCGAAGATTAAATGAACAATGACTCATCTACCGACTGAAAAACAATGCAGAGCTGATTGTAGACGGAAAGCATTAGTGTTGTGCATTAAAATGGAGCTACACTCACCAGTTAAAAGCTCTGCATCTGTATTAGCGTCCATGCAGCTGCTCGAATGAGGCGCAGTTTTGCATCGTCTTTTGTTTTGCTCTGATATTGTTTGTCTAGCTTTAAAAAAAAAAAAAAAAAGGAATTATCCCAGACAATTAGACAAACCACAATGATTTGCCTGCTTAAGCTGCAGAACAAACGGCACACTCGCTCCAGATTGAGTTTCGAACGGGACCAGTATGGGATCCTCTCCCCCGCTGCCTTCATCCCCTTTATGTTTATTTGTATTTTGAGAACGTGTGCCCGACTGATGGTACCATAGCAACCAGCATCAGGTGGAAAGGTGGCCCAGTATTTCTGTACTGCTGAGTCATGCTTGTAATCACGCAGTGCTGTTAAAAAATGTTCTACACGTTGAAATTATAGTTAAATCAAACTTTGTTTTACACTGAGGCGATATGGATTAGCAAAATGCACAAACACACAGCCAATGTTGGATCAGGGCTTAATCACTTATACAATATTTATTCATATTTCATGTGACATGCCGCCTACATTTCATAATTAGGTTGCAGCGACGTGTTTTTTCTTCAGAAACAAGGTTCACGTCACGTTTAAGCCCTAATATGTTTTTTTAATGTGTCATTCACATTTAATGTCAGGACTCACGGTCCAAATTCATGTATCTGACTTTTAATAGCACTTTGAACAGACAACATGGGCCCCTGATTTGCTTGGATCATGCATGAGCGTGCAGACGTCCGATGGTACGCTATTGTGTGCCAAAAATATCAGGACCTGACGATACGATGCTGTAATAAATACCTTTTAAAAACCAGCTGTTGACTTGGCTCATCAAGTATAAGCCTCAAAAAGATAGGTGGCTTTTATTGCAGTGTTATTGCAGTGTTATTGCTTTGTATTGTCAGGTGTTTGTGTTCTTGTGTCCAACTGCTGTAAATTAAAAGCAAATCGAAATACATGATGAGAAGTTTTATTTTTTATTTAATTTTAGTATCTCTTGTTCCCAAATAAACTTAAAAAATACGTATTTTTGTGTTTTTCAAAGCTGTGGTAATGTGAAATAGATCTGTCTGTCTTTACTTTTATTGTCTTTTTTATGTTGGGTTTTCCAACAACATAGACCATAAAGTCAGTGCTTTTCAACAGCTGGATGTAAGCAGCACTCACAGACTTTTACATACAATTTAACCGTAACATGAATTGAATTGAAATGTCTTTAATGTCCCCAAAGGGCAACACATACACATTTGCACAAGAACACATAAAAACATGAAATGATGAATAAATAAAAACATAAATACACATGTACATTATATATATATATATATATATATAAATAAAAAGTGAACATTTTTTACTGTGACATGGACAGGGATGGAAGATTACCTATAGT